TATGTATGTATGTATTCAACTTCTTCTTTCGCCAGTTGGTTTTATGAATTTAATGAATTATATTACTTGCGGGTATTGGTTGAGCGTAAATTGCATGAAAATCTGTTTTTTTTTTTTTTTTTCAATTAAAAAATCTGCCGAGTAAATGTAAGCGAGATTGAGAGCGCTAGAGAGTGGGCATTGAGCTATCATTTGCAGGCAGAAAATACGTAGTAGCGGAGGAAAGTTGACAGGTTTAGAAACAGAATGAGAAGAAAGGAGGTAAGGAAAGTCAAGCAAAGTTTTAAAAAGTGCTATAGGAGTACAGTAACCAACTATGAGCATATAAAAGTACATATTTATTTTTTATTGCATATTAATTCGCTAGATATAATATTGATGTATTCAGTTTTATGTAAGTATTCAAATCATACGTATGTTTTTAATTTAATCGCGTTATGCGGAAAAGATAAAAAAAAAATTTCTAAAAGTTTAAATATGAAATAAAAGTAATCATGACTTAAATACATAAATACATACTATACACATAAAACATCATGACATAAACTGAATATTACAGTATGCAGCTTTTGGCGACAGCTGCTGTCGCGCCTGTAAATTCCCAACAAAAATATGAAAAAGTCTACTTTCCCTCCAGCAAGCTGGCGCGATTGAGTATGGAGCATGCCGCGGGTTTTTCGCAGAGCTTAAACTTTTTTGTTTTTTTTTTTTATTTCACTTGCAATTTAATTATTTATTTATATTTGTTACAATGTTATTTTTCACACGATTTGTGTTTTGTTTGCTTTACCTCTTTAGCGCACATAACATACCACATTTGCGCAAATTTTTTTTAGTAAATGTCTGTATGTAAATACTTCTATAATCTATTTGTGTCTGTAGCTGGGAGAATAAGCCGCTTTCGGGGCTAGTGCTGCGTACCGATTGTTACTTTACGTAGAGAAACGTGAAACAAACACCAGTTCTGCTGACTAAAGAATGTTTAAAAATAGTAATTAAATGGCAAGATTGTCGAAGAAAGATACATTATTTGACTAGTTTTTTAGTAGTTTGTTTTATTCAAAAATTTAAATTATATATAAAACGCAAAATACTAGCATAAAATAATAAAATAAAATAAAAATGCAAAATAAATTAAAAATATAGAATTAATTAAATAAAAAATTAAACTCAATTCGAATAAAATTTACAAGTCAAAAAAAAAATTGAAACTAAAGAAAATATAATATATGAAATAAAATACTATAAATTATAAAATATAAAATAAAACAAAATTTAAAAAAAAATTAATAAAGTGAGTAAAATAAAATAAAATAAAATAAAATAGAATAATACTAATAAACTAAAATAAAATAAAATAAAAAAGTAAAATAAAATCAAATCAATTCAAATAAAAAAATAAAATAAAATAAACAAAATAAAATAAAATAAAATATAAGAAAGAAATAAAATAAAATAAGTAAAAAAATTAAATAATATAAAATTAGTAAAATAAAAAATAACATAAAAATATAAAATATATTACAAAACCAAAAAGTAGTAAAACAAAATTAAAAAAAATTAATAAAGTTAGTAAAATAAAATAAAATAACATAGAATAATACAAAATAAAATAAAATATAATAAAACAAAATAAAATAAAATAAAATAAAATAAAATAAAATAAAATAAAATAAAATAAAATAAAATAAAATAAAATAAAATGAAATGAATTGAAATGAAATGAAATGAAATGAAATGAAATGAAATGAAATGAAATGAAATAAAATAAAATAAAATAAAATGAAATTATATAAAATAAAATAAAATAAAAAATACAAATAAAATAAAATACAATAAGTGAGAAAGAAAACTAAATTAAAAGCCTAAAGAAAAACTTAATGCAAAATAACAAAAATTTAATAATGTTAAATAAAGTAAAATGAAGCAAGCAAATAAGATCAAGTAAAACTAAAATAAATGATAATAAGCTAAAAAAATAATTTTAAATAAAACAAAACGAAATAAAAAGATAAAATAACATATATAATTAAAAAAATGAAATAAAGTTAAAATTTGTAGTTAAAAATAAAATTTCGTAAAATAAATTAACCGAATTAAATTAAATAAAATTTTATGAAATAAAATGAAATAAGTAAATTTTACTAAAATTTAAACAAAGCTATATATAATTAAATTTAATTTTTTTAAATCAAACTAAATTAAATTAAATAAGTAAAAAATAAAATTTAAAAAAACTAAATAAAATAAAATAAGTAAAATAGGATCAAGTTAAGAGAAAATTAACAAAATAAGAAGTAAAACAAAATATAAATATAAAAAAATGAATAAAAGAATAATAATTAAAGTCAACTAGAAAGTCTAAAAATTTAAAATAAAGTAAAACTAAAAAATGTGAAATAAACTATAATTTAAAATAAAATTAAAGGAAATAAAAAAGAAAAAATATAACATAACATAAAAATTAAATAAAGTAATAATATAATAATAAATAAAAAAAATTATATAAATAAATAAAAAATCAATAGTATGTTAATTTTACATAACCAAACAAATAAAAAAAATATAAAATAAATTAAAACTATATAAATTTAAAGTTCTTTAATTAAATTAAATTAAATAAAACAAAATAACATTAAGTTAAATTAAATAAGAAAAAAAACAATTTGAAAAAAGTATATAAAATAAATTAATTAAATAAAATGAGTAAAAAATTCAATTCAAAAAAAAAATATGAAAAATTAATTAAAAATTATAAAACTAAAGAAATAAGTAAACCAAAATTAATATAAATTAAAAAAAATAATATAAAATAAAGTCAAATAAAAAATAAGAAAATATATATAAAATAAAACTGATATAAACTATAATTTTAAAGAAAATAAAAGGAAATAAAAAATAAAATAAAGAATTATTATTATTATTAAAAAAATGTAAATAAATAAAAAACAAAATTAAGTAAATTAATTTAACTTAATTAAAAAAATAAAATAAAATTGTATGATTAGAAAAATAAAAAAAACTAAAACTATATTAAACAAAATTTTTAATTTAATTTAATTAAATAAAACGAAATAAAATTAAATTAAGTAAAATGATATGAAATGAAATGAACTAATTTCCTTGCACTCTCATATACTCTAAATTTATTACTCCCAAACGTAACTCGTATGTCACGTAACCTTTCCACGTAATCCGATGACAACGCACCTGTCTTTACGCTTGTGCTCGCTATGTTTTACGCCGGCTAACTGCCTAGCTAAGCTCATTGAATGACTGAGTGCGCAACTGACGGACAAACTAATAGACAATTTGACTAGTTGGCTATCTGCCGACGGACTGGCCATTCACATCACCATGTCACATTGTCTGCTGTAAAAGTTCACTTTAGTGCAGTGAAAAGGTTGTTGTATGCAGCAAGTTTTATTCTTGTTTTTTTTTTTACACTCTGGAGCTGTGTTTGTTTTTGTTTGCCCGACTGGCGGCAATTTCTTTACTTATGTCATGTTGTTCTTGTTGTGGTTTATATATTGTTGTCGCCATTGTTAGTATTTTTGCATAAATAAATTCTTGCAACGTTGTACAAATAGCAACGGATTAAAGTCTTTACCCCAGTGAGTGAGTAACATTTTCGAAGACACATACTTGTACGTACGTACGTACGTATGAGGACATATAAATATTTTAGAATTTTCCCCAAATAGCGGATGTGCTCGTTTTTGTGCCATATCCATGCTTATGTCATCACTTACGTCATACACATATGTATGTGTGTGTGGTTTATACCCAGTAAGCATAACTGTTGGAGTTTAATTTTAACTAAGTTGAAAAATAAATTTTCTTTTCAAATCTTTCACCTTATTCATGCATCCTTAGATTGCCTGTGGAGATTTCACAGATCCCCGTTTGATTTCATTCAAAGGGTAACCTCTTTAGCTCTTGCTCTCGCTGGGAGGAGGGTGTGAATGCACAATGCTCTTTGTGTCCTCATATTCCAGGTTGAACCTTCTGCATGAGCTGCGAATGTCACTGCTCACGCATATGTCAGGGTTCCGCATTTAGATCTGTAAGCTTTAAGCACTTGTTGGGTGAGAATATATATGTATGTGCAAATCTCTCAACTACATTTTGGCATCAATTTTTGCAGCTGTTTGTTGCATACCTTTAGTGATGTGCAACAATTCAGGGATTTCCTTGCTGACGTCTGAAGTGTAGTAGCTTAAATTTTTATAAGCGTAAAGTATTTCTTGAAATCTCTGAGCTTACTACTGCTTGGTGAGTGCCATAGCAGCACTAGCAGCAACTTACTACAACAAGTGCTGTAAACTGAAGCCAGCTACTACTTGCCAAGCTCGCCTCATTGTGTGGCGCAGAGCATTTAGTCATCGTAAAATGTGTGGCATTTACCACTGCATTTGTGGCGCGTCACCCAACAACGACCAACTGCTGCTGTTGCTGCTGCAGTTTCATTTACCACACACGCCAAAAGCATTTGCATATCAACTTATACGTGCAACATGTGAATGTGTGTGGCATTTTTATGTGCCACCAGAGATATGTGCAACGAGAGTGAGTGATACCAATTTTTTTTTTTTTTTTTTTTTTTTTTTTTTTTTTGGTGATGTGTGGGAAGTATATGAAGCAGTTTTATTGCCAACATAAATTTGTATTGTTCAATGTCGCAAGTATAGGTGTTTTTATGCAGGACTGTGACACGGTGGAAATAAAAAGTTTTATTACCATAATTTAAATGCACCGTTAATTAGCTGTAGTTTTTGCAAGTGCGAAAGTCGCACTCAAAGTATTAAAAAATCACTCTGCTCTTGATGCACAAACTCATTTATACGTTCAACACTTTTTAGCGGTTGACCAAACTTTGACAGTGAAAACTCCCACCCTTTCTGGTGCTTAGTATTCAATCCTTTTTTTTTATATAAATTTTTCAATTTACTATTCGCAAGAAATTAACATTTTTTCCCCCTTTTTTTTTGTGTTTGCAGGCAAACCGTCAAAAGTCATCCACTTGCGCAACATTCCAATCGAGTCCAGCGAATCAGATGTCATCTCATTAGGTGTTCCATTTGGTCGTGTTACAAACGTGCTCGTCTTGAAGGGTAAAAATCAAGCTTTTCTCGAAATGGCCGATGAAATATCAGCGACATCGATGGTCTCATGTTACACTGTTACACCGCCACATATGCGCGGCCGCATGGTTTACGTACAATACTCCAATCATCGTGAATTGAAAACCGATCAGAGTCACAATAATGTAAGTTTATTAAAGAAAAAAAAAAACAATATGCTACACCCATCTAAGGAGCAGCTTTCTCAGCTCTCCTATTGCAGGTAATTGTATCTGCAGAATATTTGGAAGAAAATTTAAATTTTTAAAATTTGTTTGAACAGAAATTTATATTCCATCCTTCTCTGCTATTCATAGTAAAGGTTGTTATAGATTTATGTAAGGATTTGTGCTAATTGTGTGTACTCGTACACTGCAGAAGCTGCCTCGTGTCTGAATTGTGTTCGGTATAAGCCACTAAAGATTATGCAGCTAATGCTGCTCTGTTCTCATTTGTTTGGACTTAACTGCTCTCTTTTGTCCGGATGTGTACAAATGTAGAGTAGTTTCTATTTGGTCCTATTGGTACTAATGGCTTTAATGCTTTCAAATCATAATTTGTTAGTTAGTTACTTTAACAAGTTGCTTCATCACGGCACCTTGATTAAGCGCACTTGATCCGTTGTGATACCTATGTTTGTCCTGAAAAGGAGACTCATTTCAATTTTACAAATGATCAAACCAATTGGTGTGTTTTATGAAATTAAGGAGGTTAATGTTGCTTACCGATGCAAGCTTTGGAAGACAATCGAAGCCGATATTACTGTGAAAGTGCTACCGGTTAGCATTGACAGCTGGACAGTGCTAGAGATAATGTCGCTCCAATTCCTCCTCATCTATGTCTTTGCAGCTGCGACAGAAACCGTTTGATAGGCAGCCCATCCCTCTACAATGAGTCCCGGTAAGACATTGTCTTGTTATTATGCTGGTAATTATGCTTATGGAGGCCCGATCTAGAAGAGATTTTATTATTCTTGACTCGATTAATGGCCAGATATGTCTTGTTACATTGTTTCTGGCTGATACTGTGAGGAGGCCAGCTGTATGCGGATCTACGCATAAGAATGAAATAATCCTTAAATCCATATAAATAAGTCAACATTAGATGTTCTTTTCTTTAGAGTTTATACTTGAATACTTGAAAATTTTTAAAAATTTACAAACTTCGAGCAATTTTTTTTTTTTTTTTTTTTTGTCAAGAAAGTCAGAATAATGTTAAATTTTTTGATTTTAAAAATCTTCGAAACGAAATTTCAGTTTCTTTGAAAATGTTTAAGGTCTCCAATCATAACCATTTGATCTCCAGTGGAATCCTGCTGATACCACTTACTAATCCAAATGCTTCCGTTTGTGACTTCTGTATGCATATCCTCGTGCCAGGTTAACAGCAACATTTTTCTGCTATTAAAAATTAAAATTAATATGTATGTTTGTAAATGAAAAGACTGCTTACGGCATTCATTAAAATTAAATATCCTAATTCAACCGAAATACGAACAAAAGTATGATTTGGTGATGGCTTATGGCTGAAATGGTTGAAACGGTTGAAATAGCATTTGGGCTACCACATAACTGTGTTTGTTTTTGTTTTTATTGTTTTCTGCACTAAAAAAACCACAAAAGGTGTGCAACTCGACACATTTTAATTAATCACAATTTGTAACAAATTACACCAAGCGAATCCTCTAAATCACAGACAAGCTCTCAAATTTTGTTATTAACAAATACAAATACAGCGCACACATACCAACTTAATCCATGCAAATCTTCACATGGATACAGACTTGCTGTACATACTTACATCTGTATATAGAGTACGTGACATTACATGTTGGACCCATACATACATACATACATACATACACTTAAAATTTAAATAAACATTTGTAGTCATTACTTCAGCCTCAAACCCACAGAAAAGCCAACTGCCACGGCCGAAATGCGTATTATAGTGTATTTAAGCCACGCACGTATTGCAACATTGAAATCCAACAAAAATAGATTTGGTACCTATTTTGTTTGTTTTTGTACAATGTGTTGTGGTGGCGTATACTGGTTAACTCTCTATTGTAGTAACTAGTAGAGTTGTTGTCACCTGCTGCCATCCTAAAGGCCACCTCCGCTCCAAGCGAGTGTGAGTGGATTTGACTGTTGAAATCATCTGGCGTGCCAGGGCTGGCTGTTGGCCAGTAAGTCAGCCAGTCGAACAGAAACACGTTATATGTCTTCCAAATAGACAACGATGATCAGACAGTCAGAGAGTCAGTCAGTCGGTTCATCAGTCATTGCCTGAGACACGCTGTGAATTTAATTCTGCGCATGAAAGTTTTATTGTGTCACAGACTGGCAGATTGTGTGTGTCTTGTTTTTTTTTTTTTTTTTGTATTTGTTATTTTGCCCAATTTTCCGACTTCTCTTTTTCGAGAATGAGTGTTGAGAATGACAATATACAATAGTTCAGTTATCACTTATAATATCTTTTGCTATTTCGTTCCACATTTTCTTGTCTCAAAGTTTTCTTCTAGCCAATTTGGTGGTACTATGAAAACGCCACATTTCACATTTTTTAAATATAAATTTAATTCATTGAACATCAAATGCATTTTACTTAAGAGCAAATAATATGAAAATAAAAGGTGTCCAAATATATCCTTAAACTATAAGTTTTCACTCCAAGTCTGACAATATTTTCTTTGACTAAATTTCTTATTTTCTTTTATTCTGACGCCATCTTAAGATCGAGTTTTGACTATTCAACCGTACGGATATATCTCGTTTCAATGAAATAAAATTGTTTAAAACCATACAAATTCATCGTCAGTTAACATAAATTTTAAAATGGCTACTTGCAGCCTGTTAACGATTTAACTTCATCTGTTCACGATTTAACATTATCTGTTAAACATTCAATATGATATCTTAACGATTTTATATTAACTGTTAACGATTTAACATGAACTGTTAGCAATATAATATTCTATATTAACGACTCAACATTATCTGTTAACGATTTAATATTATCTGTTAATAATTTAACTTTATCTGTTAAGGACATTACATTATATGTTAACGGTTTAACATTCCCTGTTAACGATTTAACATTACCTGTTTAACGATTAACTACTTAACATTATCTGTTAATTATTCAATAGTCTGTTAACGAATAAACATTGTCTGTTAACGATTTTATATTGTCTGCTAATAATTTAACATTATCTGTTAACGACTTTACATTATATGTTAACGGTTCAATATTCCCTGTTAACGATTTAACATTAACTGTTTAACGATTAACGATTTAACATTATCTGTTAATTATTCAATAGTCTGTTAACGATTTAACTTTATCTGTTATCGACGTAACATTATCTTTTAAAGCTTTAACATTATCTGTTAATGATTTAATATCATCTCCAAACGATTTAATATTAATCGCTAACAGATTTGACTTACCGACAGCTTTTCGTTGCTTGTAAAAACGAAATCAAATTTATTTAGATAACTGCTTCAACGCTAACATTTCCAAATGATTCATCCGTATCAATTGATACTTTTTGATAAACCTGAAATTTATCATTATAATGCACCTTTGGTCTGAGTGTCTTCACAAACTTTGACTAACCCATCCAGCACTCGCTTGATAAGTCTTGTTCGTGCAATTTTTTTCACTAGTGCTGCCAACAATTAATATTCATGTGCAGAGCAGTTCAAAGGCATGTCTAAATCAATTTATTGAATTCTGTGTGTACTCGTATGAACGTATGAATTAAAAATGTAGAGCGCGATGGATGGCTGGCGAAATAATACTTAGGCGTCAGGAAAATCACCAGCTGTTACTCACAGCTACGTTTTCTCACGCGGTTTTTAAAAGTCCAGACTACAATGTAATTGGTAAGGCCATCAGTTGTTTATTATGACTGCCACCGCCGTAAACGTCAATGCCATTTTCAATTATCAATTACTTTCGCTGTGTTCATGTCGTTAAATTTTGACATTCATACAACACAAAGCCAACAATTGATACATATGTATGTGCATGCATACACACAGGCATGGATATAGTATGATAGCAAAATCAACTTTTAGTATGCAACACATTGCCACGATAAATTTAACTTAAGTTACTGTGTGTTAGTGTGCGCCAATTATGCCGATTATACAAATTATAACAGTGAGGTTCAGTACATACGTACATACAAATATGCATGTGTTGCTTATCTTGCATATGTACATATATATAATATATGAGGTATGTTAATGTTTGCATAATTTTGTCATAGAAATGTGCGCCCATATAAAACATTGCATACATTAAGGCGTCGAACTAAAAATAGCTTGTCTTTCATAACTACTCGTGTAATGCATGTCATCACGAAACATTTAGTGTTATGCACTGTCTTTTCATGTGATTATAATCATAGCTATGTAAATATTTTATTGTTTTTTAGTTTATATGTCACAACATTAATCAACCCGATGCGTTTCCGGCATATGTTTAAATAAATTCCATTAAACTTGGCTATTGCTTTACATTCCATGCCGTGGGGCGACCGCAATTAAAAAATAATTTTTAATTTTTTTCCCCTCGCCCACCATTTCGGCTGCTTAAAGCTGGATAATATGGAGGAGCAAAATTTTATTATTTTATAAGCAAGTTTTTGAAGTTCGTTTATTTTTCTTCAACTTTATAGCATTGTTTCATTCATTTCGGATTTTACAGAGATTGGTTTTGCTGATATAAAAGATATATTTTTTTATTTTCCAATTACATTTAAATTCAATTTTGTTTAGCTATATTGGCTGCCTGCTATGATTTCACAACACATTTAATTTTTAACGACTTAGCTTATCTGTTCACTACTCAACATTATCTGTTAATGATTAAACATTGTCTATTAAGACTTTAACATGATCTGTTAGCGATTTAACATTATCTGTTAGCAATATAATATTCTATGTTAGCGACTTAACATTATCCGTTAACGACTTAACATCATCTGTAAACTATTTAACATTGTCTGTTAACGATTTAACGGGATCTGTTAGCAATTTAACATTATCTTTTAGCAATGTAATATTCTATATTAACGACTTAACATTACCTGTTAACGATTTAACATTGTCTGTTAACGATTTTAGACTATCTG